GATGGAGAAGACTTCGCGTCATCTTCAAGAACTACCCGGTGTGCTTCGTCTCTTCGTGCGGTGAACTGAAGAGATCGCTACGTTAGAAAATCGCTCATTCCCTCGCTTGTCTTGGCACAGAAGTAACTTAACTTGTAACTTAGCCCCCTAAACATATCGACGGATTCCAGACGGCGCGAGCCTTATTTGATTCGAAAGTACAAACGTCAATCGATGATTCGAGGCCGCATTTTGATTACAAATCACATTTTGGTACCACTTTTTTTTTAATAGTATAAGAGAAGCCTCGAAAGAGTATCGTATAATTTTAATTCGCGCGGTACTTATATTTCGTTAGCCCTTTCACTTCTAATGTTAATAAATACAATTTTGTCGAGAAAAAACTATTGCAAATAATAATTTTCCAAGACAATTAGAATTTGGTGTTGCGATTATAAAAACGATTATAAACGTTTTTTTCATCGGAGACGAAAGCAGTATACGTACAAAAATCACTGTTCCGGAAATGACTCGGCGTAACGAGGATTCCCTAGAATTAATTTTACGCCACAGCGATCTTCAAACGGTAAAGAATTTCGAGTGACCTTGATCTAATAAGCGCGGGAAAAGCGAGAAGGCGCGCCGTCTCGAATCGCGATGTATCCCTAACACACCTAAATTTACTATATATTTATACAATGATCCGGTTTTCTTATCGTTATATATAATCCGATTCGTCGCGGCTTACGCGTACATATACATGAATTAAATTTACGCTTTCTCTCGTTTGAGATTTATACATAAATATATAATATATATATATATTTTTTTATATGTATATAATATATATGGCCGCTGCTTTGTGCGATATCATGTTCAGCCTCCCTCTGCGGGTTCATAATTGTGCTCTCTATGTTTATATCGCGCGAATATCACACTCGTCTTTGTCGCACTCGTATTTTTATTTACGCTGCCCAAAATCGAGAGTTGAACGAACCGAGAATCGCGAGAATCAAAAATCAAAATCGCGATTATAATTGTATAATCTGATATAACGTTTACAAACGGTACGGGATATTTTTATCCCTCCTATGATTTTGCTTGAGAAGCCAATTTTCGTAATCTTTCTATTCGAAATTGTCTAATTTACATTGTAAATTTTTGCTTAGTCAATATTTAAGCAAACGCCATAAATGTTCTTCACTCGAGAATTTCTCTCGCGATACATTTCTCTACCTTTTAAATTAAAATTCTATTAAAAGCTATTTGAAATTAATTCAAGAATGTTACTGCTCTGAATGTTACTTGTTGAATTCGTGGAAACTTTTAGATTTTTACTTGAAAACTGTCGATGCTTTGATATTAAAAAGAAAGAAAAAAATAATAAAATAAAGACAACACAATAATATACAACATTCTTGATTCAAATATTACATATACCAAATTAAATTTCACCACGATTTGTATTTTGATAAATTATCAGAATAATCCACGTAAAATATTTAATCACAATCGTAATAATTAAGATTAAGCAATTGATTGCTAATTTAAAGATTAGGGCGATCGTAATTAATTTCATTGATTTAATAAAAGGACAAATCCGTGTGTTCTCATCTCTATTCCAGGAAACGCTCGATCGCTTTCATTCCAAGATATTGATATGATGAGTATATTCCACGAATTCTGTTTGGACGCACAATATGTAAATCGCGATCGGCGGAGGACGGCGAACATGACGCTCTCGTGACGCAAGAAAGATACATAATAAGTTTAAACGGAGCTTAAACACTCGAGCAAAGTACGAAAAGTTACGTTCTCCAAAAAATTACGTCTAAGTGAATTCTTTTTTCCTTCTATTTCTTTTATACAGTTGTTGTTGTCGTGTAAGCAAATGATGGTCGCGAATGAACGCCAATGAGCATGAAAGGATGTCTATGCATCCCTTTTGTTCTCTCCCTTTCGGATACACATACATACATACATATCGCACATACACGCATACATTCTTCATCTCTTTCTCTCTCTATTTTCTTCTTGAATGCTAGTAGGAAGCGCGCAAAAGCATAGGCAGACACACCTTCTCGTCGTGGAGAACGTTTTTTTTCCCTTCTTTTTTGTTTCTCTGTCTGTGAATTTGCGCATATATATTGAAGCATATATTGCGAACAACGAAACGGGCATCTCGCCGATGCAGGACATCCGCGTAAATCTAAACACACCTCAGCATCATCTCCGTCGACGAGGATATCTCTCCTCTGATACATCCTATATTAATATATTAATTAGCGCGCAGCTGATGTCGGCGATCAGTCAAATTTGCAAAATCTTGCAGGAATCTTGGAACTCGGCGAATCTTCATGTATGAAATGACGGAAACTAGACGTCCTCGAGATCGATGAATCTATATAGGAATTTGCTCCAGACATCTCGCATCTTCTCTTTGAATTATTGCAATTTTTCTTATATAGACTTCCGTTTCCAAGTCCCTTTCGGCGCCGAAGACGCTGGTTTCTTGCAGATCCTTGGCTCTTTTGCATTCTTCCTCGATTCTCCTTGGATCTCGTCCAATTTGAAATCCGCAGATCCAACCGGAAACTGTTCCTCCAGTGTCCGTTAAATACGTGACGAGATTTTTGAACCACAATCGAGTTCATCAGCTGATCGGAACTACACCCTAAACCACTCGTCGTCAGTTATAAGCGGATCGTTCCTGCTCACTTCCTTTCTCTCTCTTTCTCTCTCTCTCTCTCTCTCTCATTCTCTCTATCTCTCTATCTTTTAGTCTTTTATAGTTAGAAGAGGCCCTTCTTCTTGCTCTTCTTATCTTTACCATCGACAGTCCTGAAAGGAGAATTTCCATATCAAGCACTCGACTTTTGCTCGCCTCGCTAATAATGACAGATCCGAGAATCATCGAACGCTTATTCGAGTTGCACACTTTCCGATTAATTAAATTATACCGGATGTTTGTTTGACGACGAATGATCCTGATGAAGTGGAGCTGATTTCTTTTTTACATCAAATTTTTATCCTCTATCTCGAACATCATTTTGCGATATCAAAGAATTGTTCAGCAAGAATCGACAGTAATTTAAATCATATAATAATATTATAATAAAAATGTATAAAATTCATATACAGTATAGAAAATAAATAAATACGTGACGCGAGATACTGTCGTGTTTCGAGAAACGAATTTGAATAATTTTTTTTATACGCTATATTTAGGGGAGCAGCTGCACAAGAATCTAATATTGCTGTTATGCAAAATAATCTCTCTCTTTGCGAGTACAAAATCTATCCATGCGAAAACCATGCTTCGAACCCATCCATTGCACACGCGACCAAAGAGCAAACATGCTAATCTCACGCGTGTCCCAAGATTTATGTGTCTTATCGATTTTTATATCACGCAGTGAAAAAGTACACTTCGCTTTTTTTTTCGCAGAAAATAAAAATGTAAAATTATTTATGCACCTTACGATATTATTTGTACTTTTCGATATTTATGTAAATTTACAGAGATGTCGAAGGAAAAACGGGAGAAGAGGAAAGAAAAATGCGCAATCGTAAGCTCCATTTCATGACGTTTGCATTCGGAAATTAAAAAATTTAAATTTAATTATATTCTCCGAAGAATTCTGCCAAACGTTTATCAAAGGTATCTCTCGTTAAATGAGGCTAACGATACGAAAAGCAGCTGTATAAAGTGACAAAAAATATGCGACGACGAAACAGCGAGTAAATATTATATGTAACAAACAGTGAAAAGCGACGTGGCTAAACCGTCCATTTTCTGCGATGCATTTTGCATTTTAATGACACATTTACGCGTTAATTTTCCCTCTTTTTCGGAGCCCTCCCTCTCATTAGAGCGCTTCGAACAAACAAAGATAAAGCTACAATTAAAAAAAAAAAAATTCGCAATGAGGACGGTTAGTAATTGTTTTAGGTAAGCATTGCGTTTATTTGCGAAAAAAAGGATTATCAATCGATGAAATTAACAATGTATAATCTCTCTTTTTGTTTGTGAGTAATTATTAGTAATAGGCGGTTATATATCCTCTACCAAGCTGTCTCTATTTCTTTTTTTTTTTTTTTTTATTTTAATTCGTTCGTAAAATTCGAGAGAAATTTCTCTCTCATCGGAATGAAACGTGCGATCAAGCAATTTGACGATGATTCGAGTGATTTTAGAATAAAAGCACAAGTCGCGAAACAGAGGGTAAAATCGACAGCTTGCTCAGAGTTTTACAAACTGACTGATTGACTGACTTTTGGAGATCGCGAACTTATATAACGAAGAAGTGGCCGTGTTCGTATCAAATCAACCCTTTACCGCATGATTTTTATAATCGAGGGAATTTCTATAGCAACGAGAAAACCGAAGATCGATACTTGTGTGTCGTTAGATTTTCTTCGACGGAAAAAATAAGTATAATTAAATAAAGGAACTTTTTATCATTTTTCTTACACAATTATCTTTTTTCGTACTCGTTTCTCGATTTAAATCAACCTGCTGGCGCTATTTTGCAGAATAAAATAAAGAGTGGCATTCACGGAAATGCAATATAGATTTATTCGCGCTTTAAACATCAAAAACGTTTATCAAACGGACTTTAGATCGATACGAATACGTAAATACAGTCGGAAATTAATGTAACGAGTGGCAATCCATAAACTACAGTGTATATATACAAGGTGTCCGGTAACTAACGGACCAATGATTAAGGGCGGATTCTTTGGCCAATTTGGAGACGATTTTTCCTTAGCAAAAATGTTGAGAAGTCAATAATTTTCGAGTTATAAGCGATTGAAAAAAATGGGTTTTTTGAAAATTAAATGTTTTAGAGTTAAAAGTCTAACATAATTACAGTCTTCAGTTAATTTCAGGTAGAGTTTACTATAATAAAATTTTAATTTGAGGCTTAGTTATAAAGATACATAATGACAAATATTGGAAAGTTGTAAAAAATGATGACCTTTTTCGACATTTTTGCTGAGGAAAAATCGTTCCCAAATTGACCACCTGTAATCGTTGGTCCGTTAGTTACCGGACACCCTGTATATTGATGGAAGAAAGCGGGGGTAAATTATGGCACGCGATGCGGTAAAGGATCGAAGTGTGTGTATATATGCGTGTTTGTGTGTGTAAAATATATTCTGGGCGAATATACAAAAAAAAAAAAAAAAAAAAAACGCCGCTACGCGAGGATAACTCTATTTGTTGCGCCCCCGTTACAACATGTATGTAATCTAAAAGTTTATCAAAGTCAGTGCCAAAAATACATTGCAAAATGTACATATCGCTAAATATACGCTTAATATAGTTCGTCGTGTTCGTCCTATCTCTACAATGAATGTTATCGACCGTGATTTATACCGTAACGCGAGATTTCCACGTTTCTTTTGTACCTGATGGACGCGTTACAGCAAATCAAATATATATATATATATATACGATAAATCGCGAACGTAAGGAAGTAGACAAGGCGTGCTCCAGGAAATGACGAATCGCGCTTGGGATGTATGTACTTATGTAACATCGTGCGAACGCGAGATACGTAAATTTGTAAAAAAAATTTGCGAAGAAATTTTGCGCAACAAGATGTCCTCGGAAAATCAGGAATAATCGACTAGATCGGTATATCAATCACGAGACAAAATTGAGATTTATCTTTCAGCGAAGTTTTTCAATTTCGACATAGAAGTCCTCCCTCGTAGAACAAATTTTCCTCCTTCGATCAGATTTATTTATTTATTTTTTTAATCAAATATCCGGTCGATCGATTTAAATCTCCACCTCACAGATTAATTGCGATTTTCTCCGTCTCTAAATTCTACGTAAAAATTAAAGCGTTACTCTCGACAAATGCTAAAACGATTCAATCATTTACACAGTAAATGATAAAATATTCGCAAAAAAAACAAAAAAAAACAATCTCAATTTTGTTCGGCGTTATATACTCATCTCTTCGATTCCCGATATTTTTCATATCTTCCTCGACTTGGATTCTCGTCGAGCGCGCAAAATGTCTTGACAATGTTTCGCCAAAAAACGTAACGAAGTTTATCATGCGAAAGGTGAGAAAACGCGGGAGACTATAAAATATCGAGTATAAAATAGCGGACAGATTTAATCCGGATCGGCGGAAAAATCGCGCGATATCTGCATATGCGGATGACTTTATGGGACGCCTCTCTTTAGAAATATACAGTCGCTTTGGATATGTGCACGCACACGCGTGTCGAGACGAACAAGTACCACCTATCACGATTCATTCACATCCGATTTTCAACTCCATGCAACATAAATCTGTTTAGAATCGATCGCGTTTTATTATTTTTAATCTAAACAATTGATACGCGTCCGCTAAAATAACTGGTCGATTAAATAATGCATTCGATACAATCTGTTAGAAATTTGGAATTTTCCGAAAAAATAAAGAAAAAGGTATGAATAAAAATAAATTGGATAACGATTTATCTTGTACCTCTGATCTGATGTTAATTTTATTCATGAAGTTCTCTCAAAGTAACGTTGACGAGTTAACTAATCGCTCAGATAGGCAGTACTTACTCTTCCCTTAGGTATACGATAAAATTTAATTCCTCAACCCTTATTCGGGTGCATCTATATCGACTTACATCGATTTCTGAGACTCTCGTCTACCATTTTGATTGCCTTCGAGATGCTATAACTTAAAAATATTTTGATTCTTATTCTTGCCGATCCTACGGGACTTTTGTCGAGCAATTTTCGCTGATTAAAAAAAGAAAAAAAAATCGCGACTGCACCGGGATAAGGGTTGAGAGCGCGAGAAGAAAAGAGTCCGCGCGACAGAGATCCCGAAAAGTCTTGCGAGCGCATTTTCGAGGGCGGTTTCTGGGAGAAATTCGGTCGTTATTAGGGGTGCTCAGGATGCTGTATGACAAGCTGTATCTGTGCGGGGCTGTCTTGAGGTGATTTGAAACTCGTGTGACGGCGAAGGAGGCTGCCTATCCCTCGGGAACCCCTCAACGTACCTCCACCGCCGCCAGATCCCTCGGAGGACATCGATCCCGTCCTAGATCAGGACACCCCGATATGGTATACACACAAGAGAGACAAACAAACCGGCTTTCCTTTTCTTATTTTTTTTTTTTTTGCGAACTTTCCGAGCGCAAAAGTTCGAATGAAATGTAAAAATATCGCGCACGCGATAATCTTGCGTATATATTCGCGCGGTCGGATCAATAAGCGTGGATTAATCTTGGAAAAACCGTCGACGTTTCTTGCACAACTTCTCTCTGACTTTTTTGCGAGAAACGAAACGTCGCCGGCGCATCGTCCTTGCGTTTAACGCTAAATTTATCGGCAATCTCGATTTGAATTGTAAATAATCTAAAACAAGTAGAGGATTTAAGCATCCACGTTTTTATAATACGTTTGTATTTTTTTCAAGGATTTCTAAGAGTTAACAAATAGAGGAATGTAATACTTTTGATATATTGACATTTTAATTAATAATAAAATTTATATAAATATTAATAAAATTAATATCAATAAAATAATTGTTTTCTGTCAGTTAAAATTAGATACAGCCAACTGATTCGGCATTAAATGCACGACGACGAGGATGGAAGTCACGATATGTACATGTACGGATAATAATATCGCGTGGATGGAAATTGAACGAGACACGAAAATTCGATAATCGCGAGTAATAAATAATTCTTCCAAAAAAAAACCGGTGACCGGATTATTTTCTGTTATTTGGTGCAAGCTTCGTGAAGTGATCGTGATGTGAAGGATTGTAAGATATAAAAGCGTAAATAAAAAAAATATATTGCGATGCGAACGACAATGATTAAATTGCAAACATTAAAATATCCAAAGACTAAAGACGGATTATAGCGACTACAGCGAGAGCGAGGTCTATATATAATATAAACATTCACTATCGTATTCTTCTTTCACCACGATATATGCTTTTTCCATAAAAGCTTCTTCATTAGAATTTTACAATTTATTTTTAAAAAATTCTCCAAGAAAAAATTAAAGTTTTAAATTCACTTAAGCGAAGGTCTCGCCACTAGTTTAAATCCAATTTTATATAATTATCGATATTAGATAAGCCTTGAGCGATCGTGTTTCCGTGATATTAAAATTTCGCCCACTTGAATCTGTGCGCGTGTTTCGATAACTGCTCCTCGCATCCGGAAGAAGATACGATAGTGAATGAAATATAGTGTACAAGAGGAAGCTATCAAGCTGATTCTAATTTGCATCGAGTGCTTTTCGCGCCGGATATATATAAACAACTTTAAAAAAAACCACTCTAAATCACCAGCGTTAAGCTTGAAAAAGCGACAACTATTTTTCTCAATATTCGTTCGTGTTAGAATTTTAGCTCTCGTTACAAATAAAAAGGAGGAATGTGAAAGCTAAATGTAAAACAATATTGATGTCTAAATAAGAAAAAAAAATTTACCGTGCGAAAAACAAGAGATATATTATCGATCTCTTTGAGACACAACGGAGAAATAAATAATGTGAGAGAGAGTGCAACAATGAAACAACACAATACGATTAAAAAACGCAATATCTCTCGGTTTTTCTCTTCTCTTTTTCGTTCGTTTCGACAAGGACTACTTACTCTTTCGAATTCGCCTCTAAACTGCGTCTACGTAATTCTTCGATACTGTGACCGGTCTGTTGCTCCCAGGTGGTTTTTTTCCGCCTCAAATGCTCGTCTCTTTTCTTCCAGTTCTCGCACTTGCTGCTCTAACGAACGTCGCATTTGCTCGTGCCTTCTCTGCAACTGTTAACAGATTTTCCAGAATGTATTTTCTCAGAACTAACTACACTAGATACTCCTCTTTACGTGTCTCGAATACGCATAAAAATATTAAACATTGATCGAGAATGAAAAAGAATTGTCGAGATGAATGAGAAACTCTGCACAGAAAAAACAGTATCCTTGAAAGAATGCAAATATGCCTTGATTCAAGTATATTTTATCCTTATAATAGCGCCAAATATTCTTGGTTGAAACTGAAATTTACTTATAAATATTGCAAGGACAAGTGACAAGTGAGCATCGGATATAAGCGGTACTTTCAAATATATATAATAATTCTAATAGTTCAAATGTGACTAAGTTTGTTTTTACCATATGCAATTTTTAAAACAAGAATATATCTTAAGGATAAAATATACTTCACACAAACTTATTTATTATTAAGGCAAATGAAAATTTGTGATTACAAAGAGCATTCTATGCTTAAATCAATCAAATAGCGTTCAAGAATAAAAATATACTTGAATCAAGGATTCCTTTTTTCTGTGTGAAAGTTCACAAACTACCCTTTCTTCTTTTCGATGAAATGCGCAAAAGGCTGATGAATTTTACTCACATCCGCTTCGGAGTCCTTCAGCTTCTGCCTCTTCTCCCGCACTTTCATTTCAAAGACTTGCTCCATTTCTGTCTCCATCTTCTTCATCTTGTTATCGTGTTCGCGTTTCTCCTCTTCCAGCTGCGCCAACGGGTTCCTACAAAGATTCGAGCAGATCCAAACTATAATGCATCGTGTTATCGGGTATATAATACGAGATACCGTATTATAATCCGTCGAGGAAATACAAATACTGGGTGTGACGCGTATATATATGACATTTAGGCGTTTTCGGAACTTATGTATATATATCTAATCGTTAATTAGCGCACTACCACACATTTATAGAATCTCATTAGCTCTTCGCAGCAAGATTTTTTTAAAGATTCAATTAGATTTGAAGTTCCGAGAATTCTTAATCAAGAAAGATATAATAATTATTCAACTTGGCTACTTCAGTTATCACGCGTTAGCATAGATAAAATCGATAGCAGTGTAGATGATTATATCAACATAATAGCTAACATATCCGGGTTGTCGCGGTAATTATATACACATATGTGCTGCAAAGAGATAACAGTATAAGTCACATTGATTCTTAACTGATATGACATCATCGTGGAAAAGTCGACGAATATTCCAGGAAAGAATATGTATCACTTTATTCGCGTTTTATATCGCAAAGAATGAGCGACAAAGACATAATAGCAGAGAGATTATTTCTGTTAATAAAATGAAATAGATGACTCATATCGCCGATAAGTTCCTGCGAGACCACAATCAGTTAAGGGATAAATGCTCCGGAGAGCCCGGATTTGCATTAAATCGATGTTACGCAAATTACAAGCGATAATTGGTTTCCAGTTTCGTTATTAAATTGGATTGTTATCGCGGCAATTAGAATATTGCTCGAAATCCACGAGAAACGATTACATTCCGGAAATTTGTTGCCAACTATATACGCAACGAAACATTTCACCGTATAGAATAATGAATCATTGCTTTTATCGTGTTTAGTTATATTTAAATAATACAAGAATATTTTATTCAATCTCCACTATTTATTTTTTTTATTTACGTGTAACACAAATCAGGGCTCTTATTATGTAAAAGATTGAAATGTGAAATCTATAAAGCCATAACAGATGAAAATCGATAACTATATATATATATATATACGATTTCTTTCTAAGGGAAACTATCATTACATCGTTGCTAAATTATTAATGCGAAAGTAAAACTAAATATAAAGGCGGCAGGCAAATTTAAATCGTGTTAGACATTCAAAGTGAAAAATCTAATTTACCAATCCTTTTCTCTCTAAAGAGCGTACAATAATTTGCGTTGGTTATTATTTCTTCGAAGGACTCACTGCACGCGTCAAATATAAGCGCTTATCAATCTCATAATATATAAATTAAATAGTAACATGCAATTTAATTTATAATTACAAAAAAACGCAAATACAAAATCCTGTAGTAAACGATTCTTTTGATAAATAATTATCTTGAAATAAAATCAAAGATTTTAATAAAATTAATAGAATCTAATTCAATATATGTATCTCGATTTAAAAATTCGTCTAATTCATCTTCATTCGATCATACATCTTCCTTTTAAAAGGTCTGTCAAACTCGATGATGGATTTAGTAATTTCGCAGTCTCTTCTCGAAAGTTTTCTCCAACAACGTTCTCCATCTCTCATATATATAGTATAATACGATCGCGCAGTGAGTCCTCCTGGGTCGCGGAGATTCCGAGAGTACCTCGAAACTCGACAAGGCTTGTGCACACAAAACCATAGTATATCCTTTTGAGCCTTATTAAAGGACTTACCACACCGTCATGAAAGTGTTCGTCACTCCTGGAGGGCACAAACTGACCAATAAGAAATTCACCATTAAAATTCCTTCCCTCGACAGCGTTCTCGTGTCTAGTCTACTACGAATACAGATCTCTCGCTCGCGATCGAGATATGACAAGAGATAGTTCAAACGCGAGGGCAGATCCACCGAGGGGTCGAATAGTTTGCATGCACAACCTTTCTCATGAATTCTTCAGAATGTTGAAAAAAAGAAACGGAAGAAACAGAAAGAACAACACACACCGTGTGATGCAAGCATGTGAGTCGGACAGTACAAGTCGCAATCGACTCGCAAGCGTTTTATTATTATTGGTGTGATATACTGAAGCTCGAAATAAACCATCATCTCATCACGCATAACACAGTCGAGTGCTCGCCGAGACACACTGCGTGCTCAAATCAGACTCAAACGAAACAAACAACCTTGCTCGAATAGAAAAAGCGAGCGTCGTAATGGCGTGGTTGGTGCCTGACTAAAAAGAGATAAGCGCATCCGGCAATAATATTAATATATTGCACCCGCTGGGGGCAGGTGGAGAATTAATAAATTGGACCCCGCATTATGTAGCAGAATGGGGCCAAATAACCGTCGTGTTAGAACACGTATGTTTTTGGGACAGCATTTTTTGTCACTTAACTCTGGCGATAGCCGCAAATGCTGGCTTGAAGATACGGATAGAATCGATTTTGCTTTCTTATTTTAAACCTCGACGCCCGGTTTGTCTATTTCGGCGGAATAAAAAAGTACATCTCTACTCCGCGACAAAATTCTGCTCTAGTTATGCCTCTTTCACATACGAGAAATTTGTAAAGAATTCACGCGAATCATGTGGCACGGATGTACTTACTTATTGGAGGCCTTCGTCGGCTTGCCGTCCACACCTAGACCGGCCAAAGTGCGACACCGAAAGTTCTCGTAGTGGACATTGTTCGTCACGTCTTTTAGATCCTGCACGTGCGTCCTTACCACCATGTTTCGGAGCGCTATGAAGTCGCAGTGTTCCAAGTTTTCGACTATGTACAGAAAACAAATATATTATGTATATGTAAAGGAATAAAGGGATAAATACTCTTCTCTGGATTCTTATCTTTTTACCAAATATTTCGAACGCTACTTACTTTACAATGACACATGAACGGCAGAATATACAAACAAGTTTTTCCAATTGAAACAGACATTTAAAGAAATAAAAATGTAACTAAATTTTGTAATATAAGAATTAGATTTGACTCTGTTATACACAGTTATTTATAAATGTCGATAATACCAACATGTTATATAATGTATGTCAACAAATAAGTTTACTCAATCGTAGTTGAAAATCGATCAATGAAGAAGTTTATTTCTCGCAAACTCTCGTACGTACCTTCCGCGATTCCCCACGGATATTTTCTGCCCCGCACTTTCTTGCCATCATGTTCGACGACGGCATTCGCTCCCACGACAGCAAACGGCACTCTGTCCCTTAATAACTTGTGGAATTTGTTGTCCTCCTCTTCCTCGACCTCAGGGAACTCATAGATCTTTATCTTGTGTTGCGCAATCTCGTTCAAAATCTAAAAAAAAATACAGGTCAAGACAATTGAATTAATTAATTTAGAAGAGAAAAAAAAAATATATATATATAAAATTTTATTATGATATATGTATGATGTGTGTGTAATTATATAATTTAAATTATATATTTAATTATATGTAAATACATTAATAAAATTAGAATTAAAATATGTGTTAAAATAGCAATTCCTTAACTACTCGAATATATACAATACTTTATTGTAATTTTATTTAGATTTGAGAAAATTTTTGAAATATTTAAAATAACTTTTGAGAGATGTTTTTTCTTTATATCCAGGATAACGAAAGGGAGTACTTGTTCCTTTCTTTCCTGAAAATTCGAATGCATTTCGTGCCTGTTTTTTGAAGTGCGCGCACTCATCCGGCGTCATAGTATCCGCTTTAGCGATAACCGGTATGATGTTGACTTTGTCGTGGAGACGTTGCATAAACTCCACGTCGAGCGGCTTCAATCCGTGGCCGGAGGGCGCGACAAAGTAGAGGCAGCAGTGCACCCGACTATCCGGGATCTGTCGTCTCGTCACGCGGGACTCCGCATTGAGAAACTCCTCGTACTTGGATTCAATGTAGTCGATCACTGGCACCCAACTGGGAAAGACAAGCGAATGAACAAACGAGCTTCGAGTATTCACGCGAAAGTTTAGCAAAGTCGATTATATAAATTAAGAGTTTAACAAGGCTCTGTAATATAAATATAAATTTAAAGTGTAAGACAGGCAATAAGAGCCAAATCGCGGATGACAGTGCGTTATCCCAACGAAACTAATTTTTTCGTTAGAATTAAATACCTGTGCACAAGGCACCAAATTTTACTTGGTCACGGCCAAGATTTAAAATTGGAATAATCTCTACAAGAGATTTAATTCCATACATCCCGATTATATAATTTCGTCGGAATTACAATCGTTATCGTGTCATTATAGATACCAGTTACTGTTGTCGACAGCGTCACCGAAACCAGGGGTATCGACAACCGTGAGAGTAAGATTGACGCCATTCTCCTTTAACAGAACTTTGCTGGTTTCCACGGCGACTGTCTTCTTTATCCTGAGGCTGGGTCCGGGATACTCCGCGCTATATATGTCTGCCAGGAACATGGAGTTGATCAAAGTCGACTTACCGAGCCCTGATTTCCCTGCAAGAATGGAGAAAAAATATTTCAGCGACTCCATTCGATATATTATAGATCAATAAAATCTATTTTTATAAATAAAATAAATATCTACCTAATAAACAAATGTATATTATTCGTACTATAAAAAAAATCAATAAAATAAAAAAAAAAACAAATTAAAAAACAAGTTGTAACGTCTGACGCGTTTCACAACTGAAAAAGGTATCTCAAAAAGATTCAATCAAACAATTATAAAAATATACAGTTCCAATTACAGAAATATTTCAACAAAAAAAATTTGTTTGCAGAAACAGTGGAAATATTTCGATTGGAAAACAATTCTCCATTCCGCGAATATACTTCATTCTGTGAAGCATTGTTTCACGGAATATCTATTTTCAGGTGAAATTCGGTTCGCCAAAATACCCCGCGATTTTTCTCTCTCTCCCTCTCCCTCTTCAAGGCGAAATAACTTCGCGGCTATTAATGTTCGCGCCATCGCGAGACAACGATCGTTAATCTCTCGGTCGGCGTATTTTACGATCGGACATTTCTGTTTCGCGGTCAAAAAATTTCGGAGACGGTGACACCGAAACGAGATGAAATGAATGACGCGTACCACCTCATCCTCCTCCTTCTCCGTGACCTCTTGACGCATAAACCTTGAACCAAGCGAAGTGCCGCGCCCACGCCTTCAACACCAAGGGTAAGAACTTGAATTGCTCTATTTACGGAGAAATATACGCGGCTCCGTTTATGCGCGGTCTAATAATAGCTTCATCTCCCTCTTTTCCCGCGCAGCAACCGCGCTCTCAAATTTCCCCAGACCCAATGACACTCTTTTGCACCCGCGTGCGTTCTTCAAGACGACGACAATTTTAGTCGACACTTTTATTAACGCCTGTCTTCTCCCGAAGCGCCCAGTTCGTATTCTTAAAATAATTCGCATCATCGCCGTATAATCTTATATATAAAGGAACCGATTTATTCACTTATCGCGAGTTCGCGATATTCTCGAAGTTACAGAGCCTTCAATTATCCCTGGAGGATACCTTGCGAGGTGATAAATCTAAAGAGCGGCGGAAACGCAGGCTGCAATTAACAATTTATGGCTCTTTTCAATCGGCAGGTCGATAAACGTCGCTACGTGTCATTGCCGCAAATTATCCACCTGCTGAGTGACGGTGCTATTCATTTGCATAAGTAACGCGGCGCAGAAAGATGCTCCGAGAAGAGTCCTGGGGGTTCCCCCGAGGATGACTTCGTCTCCTCGGAGTGTGAGAACCGCTGAACTTCGACGACAGCCTTGATCCGGCAAACGAGGGAGAGAGAGAACTTCGGGCGAGCACGTGCTCGGCAGATGGAGATTGCATCGCGAGATGATACTCCAGAACGAAATGGGAATACCATTGCCATTGCCGCCAAAGAAAACGGGTCCCTTTGTCCTTTCGCGAGGGCCGAGCTACTCTCGACGCGAGACAGACGCGGCCGTTGTTCTTCCGCTGCCGCATAATTAACGTTTTCAACGTCCGGGATCGCGTTTCTCGCGACGTCAGTAATGCAGCATCCGAGTACGCGCTCCGAAAATTATTACGCCTCCGCCTATCCGCATACATTATTCCGAGAAATTTCCACTTTACAAAATTACGTCGCATTGTTTAGACAACTCGTATATAAAAATAATTCAATTGTACAGTGTGATAAATTGTGGTTGCTACTTTACAATAATATAAGTAATAGTTCCAGCATTTCTCTCTCTCTCTCTCTCTCTATTTTTTCGTATATATATAAAATAATCCAAACATTTATATTTTACTATATTACATTTATATTTCATTTTTATTTTATTTTTATATTAAAATTATATATATATACATAAATATTATATAGTATATATGTACGTAAATATTATAATATATATTATATAATATCGTATATTGTAATAGTAATATTATATATATACATATACAAATATAAATATAAAATGAATCTAAATGTAAATATAAAGGAATCGAGAGAAAGAGAATAGCGCCACGTGCTTGAAATGTCAATTCGCAATTGTCACTGTAAGTCGCGCGTTACGAACCTACGACCATAAGGGTGAATTCGAAGCCCTTCTTCACGGCTTTCCTGTAAACCTGATTGGGGAGATTCGCGAAGCCGACGTAGCCGTCGAGTTCCTTGGGCTTGGTGGGCGGAGTGGGTCGCGCATGGTGCAAGAGCATTCTCCTTGTTGCTGTCCTCCTGTTAACGCCGGAGACGGCGATCCGGGCGCACTCGCGCCTGTTGCTGTCCTCGGAGGGGTCGTTCGGGATCGCCGTCGAGACCGGCAGCCGCGGCTTCGTCGCCGCCACGATGCCGCTCGTGTACACCGGCGTGTTCGGCGACGTTAAACCGCCGCCGATCGTCGCCGAGGCGTTCGTCGTAGAGTTGTTCACCTGCGATCCGGGAGGCTGCGTCGGCGGCTGCGGCGGCGGCACCGACGGTTGATTATTGCCGTGTCACCCTTGAAGAACAGTTCGCGTTTCGTCTGGATCTGCGCAGAAAGGAAATTATTCATTTTTTTCTTAATTTATTTTTAAACATTTTATTTTAACATTTTTTAAGTAATTTTAAAAATATATGTATAATACATTTTTCAGTTGGTTTATTGTTTATATAAAAGTGTAAAAAGTGATATTGTTATATGTATAATAAAATTACAATAAGATACATAATATATTCAATTTTTATTTGTATTTTAAATGTTATATATATATATATATATATATATATATATATATATATATATGCATTTATAATAATAATAAAACAAGAATTTCTTATAATTATATATTAATGAGATAAATTGCTCTCTGTGCAACTTGTGCGTTCTAATTACAATTTTAATTATAATACGTAATATTATACGTATATATTTATTAGATATTATAAACTATTACACAACTTCCCAGAATTTAATAAATTTAAGAAATGAAAATTTAGAATATAATATAATAAACAATATAAAAAAATAAAAGTACAAAAATTAAAAAAAATAATAGAAAGGAGAACTTAAAGATACACAATTAATTAATAAGAAAAACAGAATAAAAAAAAAATGAAAAGATACATAAATTCAAGGAATGCGCGTGGAGATGCATTGAGAAAGCATTCGATCATTTCATCGACTTCCGATCTCGATTCAATTCGAATGCAAATGTAGGTGGAGGAGATAAGCATTTTTCGCGTTTCATACGTTCCGTGATTTCCGGCGTTTTTAGGAAGAGCCGAATCGCGTTTCATCAAACGCGCGCACCACACACGTAGACCAGGTAATTCCATACGTTACTCGGACCGTAACCGTTACTCTTGTACGTCGAACACGTAAATTCGCAAAAGCACTGCGGGGGATGTACTACGATAAAATCGCATCGCCGCGCCGCCGAGTTTAGCGATCGATATTGCAATGCCAAGCCGACACGATGAACGGTCGAATGGCTTCCGCTACCGCTACTGTCTTATGCGCTTCCGAAGCGGAAACGGCCAGAGTTCCTGAACAATGACCCTTATTCAGAGGCCGGCGACAAGCGATCTATCTTCACCAAAGCTATGTACACGCGATGGTTTTAATAAAAAAAATATCAGAAAAAATCAGGAGAAGGTAACTCGTGTTGTTGACAACGTAAGAAGAAAAGGAACTCGCTTATCGATTAATTCGGGTGCGTCATAAAAAAAAATGTATACTATATAATAATAATAATGCATAATTATAATATATATATACTCCTTATAAATCGCTTATTTGAAACTAATAATATTAATATTGATTTGATGTGAAAAATTATTTATTTGATGTAAGAAAATTCTTTTCAAAAACAGGTATTTATTTATTGTTTCAAATAAATGATTTCTCAAGCAGTATTGAAATAAATATTTATTAATTTCATAATTTTTTCAGTGTATGTATTAATATTTTTTTTTGGTAAATATTAATCAGAGAAACTCTTATAAAATTCTTCCAATATTGTCTTACAATAACCATGATTTTCAAGGTAGAATTTTATAAGAGTTACTCTGATTAACATTTACCACAATAAAGATATTTCCACAGTAAGATATAAAATATGTTCGATAATTTTCCTATGTAACATACCTAACAAAATTTACTATACTGAAAAAAAACTTTATTAAATTTGATTAAGTATTATTCCAATACTGCCAAATAATCATTTACTTGAAACTAATAATATTGATTTGATGTAAAAAATTATTATTGGTTTCAAATAAATGTTTCATAAAATAGTATTCAAATAAATATTTATCAATTTAATACTTTTTTCAGTATAATTATATGTATAACATAAAATATAATATACAAAATAATATTTATTTCTGCTAATAAGAGAATATTTTTAATGACATAAAATGGCGGATAATTTTAATTTTCACGTATACAGAGGATATCTCCATACCGAACAGAGCTTCGTGTCGGATGTCACTAAGTTATTCCAGCTCTTCCGTGCAATGGCCATATAGAGCCTAAGTGGTGGTCGTTTGAGCGTTCAAGACGTACAAGGGAACGGTACAGGAAACCGCGGGTAAGCCAAGTGTTCCGTTACACTGGACACCGATCATGGAATACGAATGAATCCCGATAATCTGAATGCACACGCATATGTGAACGTAACGTGTGTAAGGTCAAGGCGGAAGAGAGAGAGAGAGACCATCGTCCTCTATCGCGTCGATAGATTCCTGTTAATGGATTTGAGTCATTATTCGAGTCACGTCGCTCTCCGATTTCACAATCACCGCTTATCTGCATTTTTATCGAGCTGTCAATCAACTTGCATTTTATGCGTAGAAACTTCTTAGAAATGAGATATTTCGTATATAAAGCGTAAAACTTTTGGGCTTTATTTATTTATTTATTTTTTTACGTAATTTTCTGCGCGGTTTTTATATACTTCGTTCTCGTTTGATATCAGGTTTTAAATAATGGGGAAAGATAAATCGCTCACTTTTTTGGAAAATAAAGGCCGCGTTTTTCTCACTTAAACATGATACTTTGTAATTATTATCTCGAGAATAACGATGAAAAATAAATGTAATCTTCCACAAGAGACGTAGAGCTTTTTTTTACGTTTTATGTGGATAAAAACGTCCGTACATTGAAGAAATTTGTCAAAAACATTGATCCGAGTTCCGAGGTTATCGTGAAAAAATAGGGAGACGTATAATAGATAGAAGAGAAGAGATCTTCTCAAGAGGCGCGAAAATTCTTTCTTCGCTTATCGGACGCCTCCCTCGACGCAGTTGTCGTACCGCCGAGTCAACGTACGAACGATTGCGCTTTAAAAGCATTTCACGCGTGCACGCGTGAGGAACGAGGCGACAGAAAGCGACAAATGGAGTACAGTATGCAGTAGTTTTAAGTGCGTAGTTTTGTCGAGAATCGAGTCGCCGAATAAATCTCTATCGTAAAAACTTTATATATTATTATATAATATATTAAATATTATAATGCGTATTAATATATATTAATATATAAATATAATTAATATAAAAAAATATTAATAAATGTATTTAATATATCTATATAAATATATTAAATATATGTATATAATTATATATACATGGAGAGAATTTTCTTTAGAATTTATCCTGAAAATCATAGTAACCGTGGAATAATATGATATTGAAAAAATTTTATAAAAGTTTCTCTGATTAATATAATAAAAAAAATATTAATATGTACATAGTAAAATTGATCGAACAAATTTTATATTTTGTTATGGTAGATATTAATATTTTTTATGTGCTAAATATTAATCAGAGAAACTCTTATAATTTGTACACACATATGTATTCATTATATAATTATATAATAATTTTCGATATATTTTGCAGGATATTTTTTAAAAAATATAGAACTACTTTGAAAAAGAAAGAAAGAAACGCGTGGAAATAAACTATTTCACGTCCTCCCTTATTACCATAAAGAGCCTCTTTGCGCCAGTGCAGCTCCATTACTGTCAATCGCATTCTAACCGCGCGTGTGTGCATACAGGGTCAATTCGCGCTCGCGAGACTCAAGAGCCATTCTGTATGCACATACACATACGTAATTATCGTTTTGCCGTCGTCGAGTACTACACTGAAACAAAAATTTGTTAATTTGACTAAACCTGTCAACTAAATTACTATATTTTGTTAAAGCAACATATGTTAGTTTTTAAGTCAAATATAGGTTTTGATAAATTTAATATGTTATATTTAATTGAAATATTTTTATATGTTCAATGAACAAAATAATTATTAGTTGAAAGGTTTAGTCGAGTTAATAATTTTTTTATTTTCAGTGTGGGACTCCATCATCCATTTCATCTCTTCCCTGCAAGAAAGTTCGCAGGGGAGTATTGGTCTCTCTTTGCTCTCCTTTTGAATAAACACTGGAATTTATTCGCACATTTAATATAGAAAAAATAAAAATAACAAAAGAATTAAATTGAAAAAAAATAAAAGAACAAAAAATTGGTTTAATTACAAGAGGAATTTGCCCCATTTGCTCTTATAAACACTGGAATTTATCTGCACACTTTAATGTAACAAAATAAATAAAAGAAAAAAATAAATTAAAAAAAAAATGTTAATTATGCCTTCTCCTGAAAAAAAATCCTGCGGACATCCATGAGTGGATGACTCTTTCTCTCTCTCTCTCTTTTCCGGGAACGAAGAGACACCAGACGCGAACGCAGCAGCAACAGAACAGAAACCGGTCCACGTCGCGTCATGCTGGGGAATATAAAGTCTTTCGGAGAACGAACGGTGCCTTTTCGGGACACCGTGTGTACACATAAACGCATACATGCATGAAGGGAGAAAAAAGGGCCACGACGACTCTGTCTTTTCCGCGAGTGCGCGTACATACGAAAATGTTTCTCTCTGGTGCGAAAAAGTCTGTAATCGCGAGGGTGGAATATCTCGATATATTTTTCTCGCGATCTTCTCCGAAGCTCGAGAATTTAACAAATTATCTCTTTGTAGACGAACGGAGACGAACGAACGGTGATTATCTTTGTTACACTATTTTCGAAGGGAAGAAAGGCTAAAGTGGAATTCGAGGTGAAAAAAGCTCGAGAGAGGATCTGAAAGAGGCATTTAGAGAATTTTAGTTTTTAACTCTTCGATAAAGTTTTCCGTAAAAGTTCGAAATTAATTTTCCGACGTATAATCGAATTCTTTTTTCTGCATTATCTCGATTTCTGTACATTTCTGCAGTAATTGCTCCGAGAAATACATGTAAAAAAAAATAGCCTCGCACATAAAGATGCAATGTTTCGAAAGCTGCACCACGCGCGTGCAATAGAAAGATTACAAGATAATAGAATCTCTTATACACTCGAGAGGGTACCTCAAGTCTATTAGAAATGAAATCGTATCTCCGGAAAACGAGAGAGCTTCGTAGCAGGATGCACTTTTCTCAAAATAGGATTCCTCGCATATTCGTTTCCCGACCATTGTTCCAATTCCCTTCTCATCGCGTCATTATCTCTC